CCGCAGGACCCCCACTGTTGCGCTGAGGACCAGTGGGCATTCGGTGGGATTTTCCACAGGTGATGCGTTTGGAAGCAAACATTCCCTTGCCAGCCAGTGCGACTTCTGTTGAATGCGTAAGTCCTCCATTCCACCTATTGGGTTTCGAAGGCGTCTGTCGGGGGCCCAAAACACATTGGCTGGAGGACGCGACGAGATCCTCTGATGCCTTCGGCAGCACCTGCATGCTCCGTACGGAAGAAGCAGAAGGCATTCGGAAAATCAGTGAATTTCAATTGCGTTAAAAGAGGCAGCGCGGCTTTCAAGGGGAGTCTCCGTGTCCCGGTGAAGTTGCGGGGACGCATGTATAGGGTGTGCACCGACGCGCTCTTTTTACCCCCTTGTTTTATGTATTGGTTACCGAGCGCCGGCCATATACTGTTGCTCCCCAGCTGTTAGTGCCATCGGCAGGTACTCTACTGAAACGACGGCTCAATGCCTACTTCTGACGGGGAACCCGGAGAGCGTGTGCATGAATCGAGGCACCCACTGTGTTAAAAGAATGACGAGTGACAGGGATTGGGGAGGCGTCGGTCCATTTATAAGACCGGAGGACCTGCACATGTGGCTCATTTCTTTTGCGCTTCTTATGGTACTAAATTCGATTCTTGCGGTTGTCTCCAGCCAGTTCAGCCGAGCAGGCAATCCTCCTTGGATTGATTTTGGTGGGTGTTTATGTACTTCTCCCACTTGCGTGCAGCATGTNTCTCCCACTTGCGTGCAGCATGTTCAAGAGTTTCATTGAGTTTCGCTCTGCACTCTCGGGTCTAGTGTATGCGTGGATGTGAGGTGTTTACTGTGTAATTTTTGCAGTGGTCATCATCAATTGGGGAGTTGTGTTCAGCTTATGCGTGCTCTTCCGCTATTTGAACATTTTCGTAAACACGGAGAGAGCAAAATGGCGGCTGCTTTTTTTTTCTTTGGCATGCGTCATCGTGCCTCGCTCCGTTATTCCCTTCCGCTATGTTGACTTCACCATGCTTCTGATGTGCCTTATGCTGATCGACTTCTTCAACGGGCGCCCTTCGTGCAAGACGCATGTCTTCTGTGGTAAGTTCTCCTAAGTGGGAAAGTGCATGCAGCTGCAAGAGCTTTTGTCCCTATATGCATGGCCGTCAAACAAAACCAGCATTTGGCACTCGGCGAGTGTGATTTTAAGCTGAGTATATTTACATGAGTGCTGAAAGATCTGTACGCCCTTTCTATATGCTTTGCAGTGTATCTGCGTCATGTGCGTAGTTTGCTGCTTTTGTGTGAAGGCGTTATGCTGGTTGTACTGTCCGCATCTGACCATGCATGGGGAGTTATGCCTCCTGGACTGTGGGTGGTGAAGCTTTTTGGGTCCTACCTGGCTGTGGCCATAGGGAAGCTGGGCTACCGCGTCATCCAGGTGTTTCACCGGCAAGCACAGGAATCTAATGGCCCCTCTGCCCCTGTTTGCCGATGTGTCAGTAGGAGTGCAGTCTGTAGAAAGGGAGGGAGGAAGTTCGTCGGTTGCGAAAGGGCTGTTTTCGAAGGTGCTACACACGCTTTGAAATTCCGCCACTGCCAGACGCAGCACACGGATACTTCACACGGCCCTCCATCTTTGGTCAAGGAAAGATGCATCCGTCCTGAAGGAGGCAGGTTTTACGGCTGCAGTGGGGCAGCACAGCCTAACACGGGAATGCGCCGCTACTGGACACATTTTGACGGCTACGCGCAGCTCTATTTGCAGGCTGTCCACCACCGACTGACCATAGGCAAAACGGGCGCCCCAAGAAGCCTCATTGAAATAGGTGGAGCTCAGACCCGGCAAAGGCAATTTGTGTTGGTATGAGTGTCACAATCCACATTCGCTTGAACCGAAAGCCCCTGGCATTTGCTTTTCTCAAGTGCGTTTTGTGTCTTTTTACATTTCAGAAGACACACGCATCTGGAAGGAAGAAGGAGAGCAGCAGTTTTTCGTAGTGCCGAACAACTGCTACGGCAAAGTGGATTGCAGCTGGTTCCTGGACGTACGCGTGCATGGTGCATTTGACATGTTTTGTTTTCCGTTCGCAAGTGGGGTGGAAGGGCGCCAGGTGATGTCTGCGATGCGTCCTCCGACTAGGCGCCAGACACGAACCGCAGCTGCTCCTTCTGCCACAACCCACTCTGTCCCCCTGCATTTTCACCCATCCGTTGCCACCGCACGCTATGGGTCCCTCGGATCGACGACGTACTCGGCGGAACTCAATCACTGTGGAGGCTGCACCTCAACTGAAAGTACTCTGCCGTTGCCTCCTACCCACAACGNGCGGAACTCAATCACTGTGGAGGCTGCACCTCAACTGAAAGTACTCTGCCGTTGCCTCCTACCCACAACGATGAAAGACAGCAGCCGTGCACGGTGCAACGAGCCAAGGCTTTCAGTGCGGAAGTAGGAGCATCTAGAGCAACAGCACCGCTTCCCCCTATATTTCGCGTCTCTCACCACGGCATGTCAGCGGACGCTGCAAATCTAGGGGGAGCGGTATTTCCAGCACACTTCCCTCGTTGCTTCTTCCCCCAAACGGTAACCTAAGTCCCCTGTTTTGTGCCCAGCTGTCTTGCGTCGTTTGTTACTGTGTTCGGGCCTTGTCTCATGCAGTTCTTAGAATGGCAGCAAGGCTTCAAGGCTGCGTATGGAAAAGAGAGCCAGCGTTTTTGCTTGTGAGCCTGCGCATGAATTTAAGGACTCACTGAAAGCGGGAAAGGAGAGGCGTTCCTTTAGATCATTGTCCATGAGGTGCATCAGCAGTCCAAAAAGGCCGCGTAAATCACCTGCGAACCCAAACCGGTGCGTCAAGCGGCGAGATAAGTGCATG